TTCTGCTCTCAATTTTCTCCATATAATGCATGTGTAAAATGCTACAGGAGCAGAATGCTAGCATTATATACCCACTTCTTGTGGATGTAACAAGATGCAAGGCTGAGGAAAATCATAGCAACTGTCTTCAGAGCTTGTAAGCCAGCTCTGAAGATGGTCAAGATACTGGAGGTACAGTTAAATATGTAGCCTCACATCTATTCTCTCGATAATGGTTATTCTAACAAATGAATGATGGGGCAGTATCAAAATGATCTTTAACCAGATGGTACAAATATGTTAAGTCCATCTAGGGAAGCTTCTTGTTTTCAGATGCTGTAAATTCATACAAGTCTCTTATTTTTATTAGAACACATTACATTTGGCAAGCTCAGAATAGTTTGTATACAGTTCAGTATATATGCATAAAGCTTTGTCCCATTATTATCCTTCAGTTTCCTCTTTCACCAAGTCTCCTCCACCCCCGCAAACTGAGTCAAGACAGAAGCACTTCCCAATGTATAAATAAAGATGACCACAGTTTTTATACGTACATAGCACAACAAGATGTGCTTCTTTCGATGATACAGTCCAGAGACAACACCTAGAGACATTAAAACATTAGCCAACCTTCTCATCCCTCTTTCCCACAGAAGAAGCAGTAACTATAAGATAGATCCAGGCCTCACCTTGTTAGGATTGTTTTTGTCAGTGGGGCCGGACTGTGGGCTGCTGCTGTAATTCCACCCAGCCTCCTGCAAAATGTCAGGGGTCTGCTGTCTGGTCTGCCGTGAAACAATAAAGTGAACTCGCTTTTCACTGGCCTGCATGATGAGAGACAGATGTAAGTCCTGCTGTTATTCAGCTACAAAGCCAATCTTTTCAGCACTACAAGTTCACAAAGTGCAGGTCTCACTGAAGCTTGCTCTTAGTTTGGTTTCCTTTTTAAGACAATTTTTGGATATTAGATTTTTCTCAATTGAACGACAATTCTTTTCTGTTCCTTTACACTTACAACTTAGTCACCACAAGAGGAAACAATAATTTTCAGCTCAATATAATACAGAACTAAAACTTGATCATTATCTCTCCACAAACCTATTGGCATTTACTCAGAATTGAAGTACTGAGGGCATCACTCTTGAGTTCTCTTTGATTTTTGCTGTAGACTTGAATAGACTTTTCCAAGTGGCCTGTGAATATATAAAACAGCTAACTAATGTGACAGAAATGTGAGAAATGTATAATACTAGATCTACTATCATTTGATGGAAACTATGGAAGAGATACCGCTCTT